CCCATGTTGGGTGTGGAACTTACTTAAATATATTTTTTTAATTTTTTAAATATATAAATTATTAGCACAAATGATCACATAGAATGACAGAATTAAAGTAACTTAAGTTCTGTTTCTTTGCCTTTACAATGACTGTCATCATTCATTCTGAAACTACTGTTTAAACTCAGAAATATGGAGTGTCACAGAGTTGGAGACCCCAATTAAGCCCAAAGCAAGCTTGAGTGATTTCAAAGTGAATGTGCATATCTGAGTCTGTGTGTGTCAAGAGCTGACTATTTAAGTGAAATTTCTCCTACTTAACTTCCATGTAGAACACAATGTTTATTCAAAAGTAAGTAATAAATTGTGCTAATTTGACTCTTTATTTTTTTTTTTTAAGATTTTATTTATTTGAGAGAGAGAATGAGAGAGAGAGAGCATGAGAGGGGGAGGGTCAGAGGGAGAAGCAGACTCCCTGCCGAACAGAGAGCCCGATGCGGGACTCGATCCCGGGACTCCAGGACCATGACCTGAGCCGAAGGCAGTCGCTTAACCAACTGAGCCACCCAGGCACCCCTAAATTGTGCTAATTTGAACCTAATATATATATTACTAAAACTCAACAGTATCTATAGCAACTATCTAAAGATTTTTTTTTTGAGCAATCTCCACACCCAACATGGGGCTCAGACTCACAACCCCAAGATCAAGAGTTACATGCTCTACCTACTGAGCCAGCCAGGCACCCCTGTAGCAACTATTTAGAACTCAGGCCAGTAAAATATTTTTGGGGGGAAGAAACATTTTGTGGGGGGGGCAGAAGCATTTTTAAACTGATATTGTTTAAAATTGCTGATGGGGACGCCTGGGTGGCTCAGTCGGTTAAACATCTGCCTTCAGCTCAGGTCATGAGTCCAGGGTCTTGGGATGGAATCCCACATCAGGCTCCTTGCTCAGGAGGAAGCCTGCTTCTCCCTCTTTGACAACCAAAATAAATAAATTAATTAATTAAAATAAAATAAAATTGCTGATGGATGGTAGTAATGAAAAGCTGACCAATTTTTAGGTTTGTTTTTTTTTTGTTTTGTTTTGTTTTTTGAGAGAGAGAGAGAATCTTAAGCAGGTCCCATGTCCAGCCGGAAGCCCTATGCCAGGCTTAATTTCACAACCCCGAGATCATAACCTGAGATGAAACCGACAGTCAGACACTTAACCGACTGAGCCACCCAGACACCCCTATTTTTATTATGGTTCTTAAATTCTCTCCAGGTGATATATCTTTATTGCCCACACCTGGGTAGGGCAGACCCCCCCACCCCCCGTCATCCCACGTTTGGTAGGCCACTCGCAGCAATACCGGGATCCATTTCCCTCCTGGTAACTGTGGACCAGAGCAGAACGCCAGGGGCTGCCCTTCGCAGGCATTTAATTTTTCAACCCTTAATTTAAAGGACCTTCCCAAGAAGCTTCCCCTGACATTCTTTCCCCCTTTGAGTCTGAATCAATTCCTTCTCCTTTATATTCCCATAGGACCCTGTGCTTGGTTCTATCGCTGACCTCTTACCCTGTATTACATGTCCCCAATTCTAGGCCATGGAAGTAAGGACTGGAGCCTATGAATCGGTGAGTGCTCAGTGTTCTGGCCAGTGCTCAGTTCTGGCCACGTCTAACATGGCCGTCTCGAAGTTAAGTGCTTTCAGGAAGGGGCTGGGAGTACCCAGGAGGTGGTGTGGAGCTGCTCCAGGGTGTCAAGGGCCCTCAAGGTGGGGAGGAGGCCTTGCAGCTAACAAAACTCTTTTATTCTACGGGTCACCTCAAGGAACGTCTCACCCATATCGCTAGCCCACTAGCAGGTGAGAAATTGGAGCTCACAGAGCTCGGGGGGATTGCTCACGGCTACAGAGGGACTCACTGGCCAGGCCTGGACACACACTTCCAGACCTCTCCGCCAGGACACCCCTGCGCCACAGCCCTGCGTCCAGTCGGGGCAGCTCCGACCTCACCTAGCTTGCCCATGTGCTCGTTTAACCGGGAGGGGGCGCCAGATGTCCGTTCCTGGGGAGGCCGGGGCCCGGGTGGGGTTGGAGGGACTGCTCCTTTGAAGGAGGCCCACCCGGACGGAAGCCGTGGAGCTGGGGAGCCCTGGTAAAGAAAGGGTGTGTGTTGGGGGCAGTTTTGTAAGAGAGCCGGAGTTCGGGAGCGTTGGCGGTTGGCTGGGACGCGGAGGAAAGGGCACTCGTTGCCTCCTTCGGGCCCTGCCTCGTCTGGCCCTGTTGGAGAAGGGGAGGGCTCTCCCGAGCGGAGGGCCGCTGCCTCCCCCCTCCATTCCCAGGCTCGCTCAGGGCCTGGAGCGGACCGGACATTCCTAAGTCTCCGACGGGAATCCAGGAAAGACACCGGAGGCCAGCCTCCCTGCAGTCTGGGCCGGTTCTTCCAAAGCCCGCCCTGGCCCAGGACTTCCCGGAAGACCTCAGGCTCCTGAACACTGCCCCCCGCTGGAACTTCCCCCACACTCTTGCCTCCCGCCCTCCTGGCTCCTCCCGCCCAGCCTGTGGGATCAGACCCACCCCCTTGAGCCCCGTACAAGAAATTGTTATCCACCGACTTCCAGGTCAAACCCGTGATGTGTCCCCCTAAACCTGGCTCTCTTCCCGAGTTCCCTCTCTCAACGAAGAGACCAGTATCCATCTGGTTATTTAACCTGGAAAGCTTAGAATCATCCTTGACACCTTTCTTTTTCATTCCCTGCGGCCAATCCATTTTTTCACCCCTCGTGTCCCGGTTTCCACCACTCACTGGCCAATTGCTCATCCTCTCTCATCAGAGTTGGTGTTCTTGCCTCGACTCCCTACTGTGTCTCTTCCCCTCTCCTCTCAATTCCTTCTCCAGGTGGTAGCCCTGATAATCTTTTCAAATCATCAATCTGGTCATGTTGCTCACCTGCTGAAATCTTTCTCGAGCTTCCTAGCGCTCTCGCAATAAAGACCAAACTCTTAGCATGGCCCACAGGGTCCTGCATGGCTGGTCCTTCCTACATCTCTGGCACTACCCGCCCTCTCTCTTTGTTCCAACTACATGGGCCGTGCTTGTCACAGGGCCTTTGCACATGCTGTTTCTTCCTCTGCCTGGAATCCCACCCCCCCTTCTGCCTTGTTAACTGCTACTCCTTCAGACCGAGGCTCCAGCATTGCTTTCTCAGGGACACCCTCCCTGACCTCCCTGACCAGGTCAGATCCCTTATGACTGACCCCTAGAACCAAGTACTGCTCCTTCACATATTTGTCATAGCTGTAATTGTTGATTTGTTTGCAGTATTATTTTAAAAATGTCTGTTTTTTCTACTAGACTATAAGTCCCGTGGAGGTAAGGACCGTGTCAGTTTTTACTCACTGGAAGTCTCCAGCACCCATGTACCTGGCACATACTAGGGGCTCAATGTTTCTTGAATAAATAAGCAAATGAGTGTTGCACATCTCTCTCCATCTCTATTTCCAGATGCTAAGACTGTATCATCTCCTCTCTGGACCTTGGCAATCACTTCTTCACTGGTCTCCCAGTTTACAGTCAAGCCTCTACCGGTTTCCCAGCCAAGAGCAAGAGTGGTCTAATAAAAATGCCAGTCTGACCATGTCACCCTTCCCACCCCGTTTCACAGCCTTCAGCGGCCTCCCCATGGCCCTTGGAATAAAATCCAAACTCCTGACCCAGCCTTACAAGGACTTGCACAGTCTGGCTCACCTCATGCCAAGCCCCACCTCCTCAACAGACATTTCTTAATTCAACAAATATTGAGTGCCTATTGTACCAGGCCTGAGGATTTTGTGGTGAGTAAAAACAGACTCCTTCAGATCTGCTGACAATCCCCCAGGTCCTCCTTTCCCTGCAGGGCCTTTGCACATGCTTTCCCCCCCTTGTCTGGAAAGTGCTTCTCTCTCCTTTCTCCACATTCCTGACTTTGCCCAGTCAGTACCTGCTCACCACCAGATCTCAAATGAAACACCATTTATTCAGGGGTATCTTATCTGACCCCCTACTTTGGTTCCTCTGTTAGATGCTTTTATTGCTTCCTATATTCAGTCTTCATGGCACTTACCACGTTTCCTATTTTTGTATTTGTGTGGTGGTTTAGTTAATACCCACCTTCCCCACAAGGAGCTTCTATTACTCGTTTTTAGCTTAGCATCCTATCACTCTGGTGCTTAACTGGTGGTCCACACTATACTGAATGAATAAAGGAATGAGTAAATTATTCCCTTGCAAGAGTGTTTGGAGGGCACTGCCGCCAGGGAAATGTCGGTGCCTCGGTGTGAATATGATGAGCCGGGGATGGGGGGGTGGTGTGTGAAAAGGAGCTCTCACCACGGAGAGGGCCAAGAAGCTATTAGTCCCTCCTTGGGGCTCCTGATCCCACACCTGAGACTTGGCCCTGCCCACCTCTCCCACCCCACCCAAGCTCTCCCCAGCAACCCTGCTCCTGCCCCTACTCCTTGAGGGCTTTCCACACACTGACCCCTCCCTCTGCATCTCTTCTCCCCGTTCTTTCTCACATGGCTGGCTCCTCCTCAACCCTCAGGTCAAATTTACATGCTGCTCCTTTAGAACACACCTTCTCTGAGTAGGTTTCCCTGGTATTGTTCATCCTTTCATCCACTTCATTTCCTTCTTTGAAATGGACATGCACGTATATATTTGTTTATTGTCTGTGTCCCTGGATGAGTGAGAAGCTTTTGGTTACATCAAACAGAAAATCCAGCTCCACTGGCTTAAACAGGAAGTTGTCTGGGGGTAGGACTGGATTTGGGGTTGGTTAACTCAGTGGTCTTCTCAAGGACCTAGGTTCTCCGCATCTCCCTGCTCTGCCACCCTTGATGTTGGCTTTCTCCTCAGGTTGGTCAGCAGGATGGATGCAGCAACTCCAGCCATCACAGTCAACTTCATATCATACAGGCAGAGTTTTCTCTCTTGTTATGTGTCTTAGTTAACTATTGCTGTGTTAACGAATCATCACAAAACTTAGCTGTCTAAAACAATATTTATTATCTCACAGTTTCTGAGGGCTAGAAACCCAGGAGTGGCTTCGCTAGTTGGTTCTGGCCGAGGAGCTCTCCTGAGGTTATTGTCAAGCTGTTGGCTGGGGCTGAAGTCATCTGAAGGCTTAGCTGACGCTGGAGAAGCTGCTCCCAAGCTTATTCATGTGGTTATTGGCAGGGGGCTTCAGTCCCTTGGCACGCGGGCCCCTCAGGCTGTTTGCAGTGTAGCAGGGGCCTCCTCCACAGAGGGTCCAAGAGCGGGAGAGTGACCAAAACAGAAGCTACAGTGTCTTTTAGGACCTAACCTCTCACGTGACATGCCACCGCTTCGGCTGTGTTCTGTCGGTCACTCAGCCCAGCCCTGCTACAGCCTGGAAGGGACTACACAGGGTGCGAACACGAGGAGGTGTGGGACGCTGGGAGGGCCTCATTTTTTTTCTCCAAGAGTGAGGATGCCTCTCCTAGAAGCCCAAGAGGCTTTTCTTTATATCTGCTGACCACAGTTGGGTCGCATGCCTGTACCTAAACCAGTCATTCATGAGGGGTTGGGGACCATCATTTTTGCCTCATTACAATCATGATTCACCCCTAGGCCTAGGATCTACCTCTGCTGAAGCACAGAGGTGGGGGGTGGGGGGGGAGCCAGGAGGAAGATGGCCACTTGAACAAAATCATTTGGGCAAATGGGAACGGATGTTGAGTAAGCAACTGAGTGTCTATGACACTCACCTGCTAGACTGTAAACCCTGTGAGAACAGAGGCTACATCTTTTCCTACTACTGCATCCCTACAACGTAGTCCACTGCCTGGTACCATATTTGTTAAATGAATGAATTCATTACAAGATGGAGACCACATGCAGGAGCTCTAGAACTAGTACCGGATAGGGGCAGATATCACCAGGCCCTGGCTCCTTAAGTTCTTAGAAGGCAGGAGGCCACCTGCTCCCACCCACCACCAGCCCCAAGGATAGACAGGACTGGCAGAATTATTCTCACTTTATTTCTGGAGAAGTTTGATCAGATGCAATAACACTGATTCCAGGCGAGGGCAGGGGGCATGGGTACCCCTAAAGCAACCAGTATCCTGTGGCCCAAGGTGCCCATCCCCAGACCTGGGTTCCCCCTCAGTTACAGTTAAATAGAGAGAGGAAGATCACCCCAGGGAGTCTTGGGAGGGTCTGCCTCCTGCACCCGCCCCCTCCACGCAGAGGAGTCTGAACACAAGCTATTTACAGTATTCACATCCACTGTACCCCACCAAACCAAGGCAAATACTACAGGTGGCCCCTCCCCAAGGGAGGAGGCCAGAGAGGCTGTTGTGAGTGTATGTGTGTGTATGGGGGGGGGGGCGCGCATGTGAGCACACGAATGCACTGAGGGGCAGGATCTGGCTCCGGCCAAAGAGACATCAGTCTATAAGGTGCAGATTAAAAATAACAGAGGACCCACCCCCACGGGCCCAGGCCACTTCTGGCTTTGTTCTGTCTCTTTCTCTTGCGGACGTCCTGGTAGATGATGCAGAGGAGCCCTCAGCTGCACCTGGATCCAAGGCAACCTCCTAAAGGACTTCTGGGAAAAAAGCAGGGGGGGAAACAGTCAAGGCAAACCATGCCTCCAAGCCCAGATGTCTGGGGGTCTTCAGGGTGCAGTGTGACAGGGCCTCTGGCAGAGCTGGAAGAAAGGGCAGGGCTGGGGAGTCTGGAGAAGGCTGCGGGGAGGGCAGGCAGGGGTCCAGGAGTCAGGAATCCCTACCTGTGACCTGTGGGGGCTGTACCACAGCTTTCTTGAGGAAGGCTTCTGCCTCTGCGAAGGGCAGGAGTGCCTCTGGCGTTCGGCCCAGACTCTTGTCCCCAGAGGGCCCCTTAGGGGAGAAGCCATTCTCCTGGTGTGCAGGGAGAGGCTGTAGGCCATTCACCAGGGACCCTGGCGACTCCTTGCTTGGCAGGCTGTGGATGCAGGGCCAACACTTAGGCACTCCACCCCAAGACCACCCAGGCACCCCACAGCTCCAGTGTGATCCTGCCTCCCCGCTCAGGGTAACTGGTACCTCCACTGAGGCTCCTGGGGGGCCAGCTCCTCTTTCTGCACTGCCTCCTTCTGCAGCCCCAGGGGCCGAGCCTCCCCGGCTTTCACAGGCTCTGTCACAGGGAAGGAAGGACCATCAGTTAGGAGCTAGGGAGAGGAGGAAGTTTGAGGGTGGGTGGCTAAGGGCATGGAGATGAGGGGAACAGGGCCTTTACCTGGGCTGAAATTGTTGGCTTGTGCCTCCTTCCTGTCCGGCTTCTGCTTGGAATTGGAAGAGCAGTCAGACTCAAGGGCTATTTGGCTCCCGCCCGGTTCTGGTGCTGACTTCTCCTCTCTCCCGGCCCAGACCCTGAGTGCCCCCCCTCCCACGCGCCCCAGCTCTGTTCCTCACCCCCAACACTGCCTTTGGGGAATCCTGACCTTGGTTTCAGCAGCTTCTGACTTCCGAGTCCTCTTCATTATCTCCTCCAGACGCTGTTTGGAGGCCCCACATCAGTTAGGCCCAAGTCCTGCCCTACGTGGAAACCTCCCACCAGCCAGCCCCTGTCCTGAATGTCCCTCCCAGGCCAGGAACCAGCACTCACTCCAACTCCTTCTCGACCGACCCTTTACAAGCCCAAGGCAGGGCCCACCGCCCCGGCCTCCACTGGCCGGTAACTGAAGCGGGAACCCAGCGCAGAGCACGGCCCCGCCCACGGAAGCCCCGCACTGCTCTGCAGACCTTTTTGCGCTCTTGCCGCTCCTGCTCCTCCCGCTGGAAGTGCTTTTCCCGCTCCAGACGCTGCCTCTCCGCTTCTTCCCGGGACCGAGCTTCGGCCTCTTCTTTCTGCCAAGGACCCCCGCGAGCTCTAAGCAGCGGGATCCCCCGCCTTCCCTCCGGGCCGGCCCCCAGCCCGCCCCCAGGAGGCGCCTGCACCCACCCGCGGGGGGCAGGGCGGGGGTGGGTGGGCACCTGCTTCTGCAGCCGCTCCTGTTCCTCCTGCTCCGCCTGCGCCTTCTCTCGGGCCTCCTGCTCCTCCCGCCTCCGGGCCTCCGCCTCCCTCTCGGCCCGAGCCTCGGCCTCCCGCGCGAGCTGCTCCTCCCGCATGCGTCTGGGGCACAGAGGAAACTCGGGCTCCGTCCTGCGCTTCTCCCGCAGCCTCCGTAAGGGCCCCCTTCAGTCCCCAAGGGCGCACTTACTTGTCCCTTTCCGCTTGTAGCCTCCGCTCCTGTTCTTCGCGCTCCCGCTGCTCCCGTGCTTGGCGCCGCTTCTCAGCCAGGAGCCGAGTGGCCTCCTCTCGGTCTGTGGTGCCAGCCATGGGTTTGCTAGGGGTCGTTGGTGGAGCAGGAGCTGGGGGTGAGGTCAGGACAGCAGTATCTGGAGTGGGATCCAGGACCAGGAGTCAGCATACACCAGCTCACGCACCGCCATCACCACTGCCTGCCCCGAGCTTCTTGGACCTCAGGGCGACCCACCCACCCAACTTCTGCCATGGACTCAGGTGGTGTGTAGTGCTCCCCTCTGGCCTGTGTTCTGGGCCTGGACCTGCCGAGGGCCGGAGCCTCCAACACCCAGTCCCCAGGCACCTCTAGGCCCCTATCTCTGACCAGGTCTCCCACACAGGCAAAGTGGGCTTCCCTTGCCCAGCCCACCTGCAGGGATCTCGGCTGTGGGCTGCTCTTTCTGCGGCTGAGCTGGGGTGGGGGAGGGCACAGGCGAGGGTGCTGGTGAGGCTGGGGCTGCTGGCTCCTTCTCCTCACTGGTCTTGCTCTTGCTGTGGTTCTTGTCCACAGGTCCTGTAGCACTGAGGCTCTCCTTGGCCTCATCCTTCCTCCGAACCCGCCCCTTGGGTGATGCAGTGGTGCCCCGAGGGGATGGTGGTTTGGGGGGTAGAGCGTGGCCTGGCCCTGGGCTGGGGCAGGGAGAGGCAGGCCTGTGCCAGGATGTGGGGGAGGATGGCTGGGCCTTGGCCTTGGGACTGAGAGAAAAGGAAAAGTTAGGCTTTGAGCACAGCGTCCACACACACACACACACACGTACACACCCTCTGAGCATGTCATTCCCTCAGGGAAGTATCCCCCCCCCCCAGGGTAGCTCAGCTCTCCCCACCTTACAGGCTCTCACAGAATCAGATTATTTCCTTTTAGAGCATATGTCCCAGTTTGTAGTCACATATTCATTTGTGAGTCTTAGATTAATGTCCGTCTCAGTAAATGAGAGCAAGAACTGAGGCCTGGCTTGGCTCCCCAACGTGTCCTCAGCGGCCAGAACAGGACCGGGCAGGTCCAGTTCACTCATTCAGCAGGTATTTGGCCAGTGCTTACCAGATGCCAGGCACCGGTCTAGGTGCTAGGCTACTTCAGCCATCAAAACACACACACAAAATCTGCCCGCAAGGAGCTTTCATTTTCATTCTAGGGGTGGGGGCCCAACAAATATCTGTGAATGGGTGGATGCACGAAAGAACGGCCGGGGGACGCCGGGGACGTGCAGGCCCCACCGCGCGTGCCCACCTGAGCTCGGCGGGGCCCGCAGACAGGCGCGGGCGCGGAGACGCCGGCAGGGACTGGCGCTTCTTGAGGCTGCGCTCCCGGGCCAGCGCACTCTTCTCCTTCTCATTTTCCCGCTCCTTGTCCTTCTTCTCCTTCTTCTGCACCTGGCGGGGAGGGGGAAGGAGAGGCGCGGCAGGGCTTAAGGGCGCCGCGCTCCCTGCGCCCCGGCTCCCCG